AAAAGCATTAATCTTTTTTCTTTCAGCTTTTCTGATTATCCAGCTTTCACTGCCATATGTCGTAACTGGAAAGACCATGGCTCTGACAATTCGTACTTTTGTCGACAGTGTGATATTTAGCTTATATTGGCAATATAATTGCCCAAGATATAGCCAACGTACCCAAGGTCGGTCCAGCATTGAGCCAATATCTGGTGCTACTGGGGTGGGGTTGTGACTTCTGTCTTTATCTTATTGAACAGTTGGCTGGACGAAATCTCAGTCGCGTCCAAGATCTGTCCAAAGCTGTTCATTTAGAGCTGCGGAGGATTCCAAAAGATGCATATGCTGACGCCTTTCATAGTGGCTTCGCCGGTTGGGTTGGTGCATGCAATCACAGGGTGGATACTTCGAAGGATTGCAGAATTAACATTTTGGAAATACCGCGTATGCTGCAAATAAAATACTAGTTTCAAGAACTTTTTGGACGTCCCTCGGTAAACCATGGTTACTGGGAAACAGAAGAACGTTTTCCACCTCTGCTTTACAGTATTTACATCGGCAATACGCAGAAATGTCGCTACATATGACTGCCCCTTGACCTTGAGCATAAGCGCTTGCAAGTGCATCGCTCACGTTGTTGCGAGTAGGGTCGGGCTAAAACACCTAACATCGGAGATATCTTAGAAAAAAAAATTGCACTTCATGACAAACATTTAATTGTCGAAGTCATCTGAGTTCACTCTCTGAATTCAATAAATTCCGACAAAGCAATGAAGTTGGCAGAAAATATGACAAAAATGTTGGTGGACAAGAAGCACGTGGCGGGTATGGTGGCACACGGTTTTTAAGACGTAGTGGACATGTGATTAAAAAAAAAAGAAAAAAAGAAGTGCCTTGGCAAATCCATTGACAATAAATGGGAAAAGAGTGAGTCTGGTCTGTCAAAAATACACATCAATGACCTCGGAAATTTGAAGCCGTCAGCAAATTCCTTCCGTTCCCTTCCAAAGTTGCCTGTCCTGACCAATGATTTCTTTCTGACTATCACGTTCCAGTGCTCTTTCCAGTCCAACCTCATTCTTTTTCGGTCAGTTTATTTTAGTTCTGCTGACGTTGACCAATGGGACGGAAAAAAAGGATTTCACAGATACAACTCCCAAATAAATAGTCTCTAAGTCCCTGGGAATGTCGTTGGCAGGTGGAGTTGAAAAGTCAGAAGGAATCTCGGAGTTGCGACAGTATTGAAGGAATGAATATATCATGGGGTTCTCACATCAAGATCATTAGCGTATTAAGTTTCCCCTTTTGATGAATTCCGTGGAACCTATCAGTCCGGCTGTGCGACCTAAGAGCCAAGATCAATTTGTGAAAGGTGTATATTAACATGATCCTGCCACATTTATGAGCCCCATTGAAAATGCAAAGAATAAATTTGCAAAAAGACGCACTTCTGCGTTGCTTCTAAATACATAGGCACATCTCAAGATCTGGAGTCAAATCCTGTGCTAGTTTTGAGACTGATATGTACCAACTCGTAACATCTCCCTTTCTCTTAAATTCAATCCACCTCAACAGTCATCTCTATTTGATGTGAATGTTTAACCTCTTCAGGGATACTGGCACAAATGGGGACGTTTGATTCAATGCATTTTAAATTGGTTAAAAACTGATCCCCAACTGTTCAGATGTCACAGATGTTGCCAATTTGTTGGGAGTTTTCATTGCGGTTGATATCACTGTTCCCCCAGATTGTAAATTACTCTACACAAAGTACTCTACACCTGTAATATTTTTAATGTAACATTTTTCCGTGGAAAAAAAAATTCTTCCTTGAAGAGGTTAAAAAAAGCAGTCATATAATCATTCAGCTTAATATCATTGCAAGATTATTACAGACGAAATGGAAGCTATGGCCATGTGGATCATAACAGTGACAGACATTTTTTCATGATCGAAGCACCACCATAATACAAACTGCGTACTGTAGAAAAGACTTTCTCCATTACCTTCTAGTGCACCATTGCCAAGTCCCAAGCCCTTCCAACCCTACTTGAAGTAGGCTAGCTGATGACAGGAAGATAGTGATTTGCTAATGCATTAATAACACCTTTGGCATGGGCTCCATAGTCCTAATGCCAGAACTCTAAAGGGAGATATCTCCTTATTTACAAGTCACAGTATGATGCGAAGAAGGATATACATCGATTGTCATAAATCATGTAAGAAGCAATACGTTTTGCATTACTGGAAAGTAGAGCTTAATAGGTGAGAAACCTTGATAAGGGGCAGAAATGTAGGCACAGGTTTCTGAAAAAGGATGACAATGAAGTAAAAATTAACATCTTCAGAACAAAGTATAGCAGGGAGAAGCAGTTTGCAGGAACTAGAAGTGACACTAAAGTTTTTTTAAAATAAAAAATGCGCACCATTTGTAACTCCACACACATCAAAACAATCCCTATTTCCCTCCATGTATTCAGCAGCATGTCATGTGTAATGGTTTGAAGCACAGTTATGATCCCATTTCGAATATCTACCACACCCTTAACCTTAGACTGGTACACAATGTCTTTGACACCACTATACATGAAAGAGTCAGGTGGGGTCAAGTCTGGTGAATGCAGGGACCAGGGGATGGGGCCACCTATGCCAACCCATCAATCTGAGGGCTACATGCTACTGAATACCTGGATGGAAGTAGAAGATTGTTTGAATGTGTGTGGAGCTAAAAATGGTGCACATTTAGAACTTTATTAATAAATGCTTATAAAACTTGATGTGTTACTTTAAGTTCCTGCAAAGTGCTTCTCTTTACTACATTTAATTCTGAAGATATTAATTTTCACTTCATTGTCACCCTTTTTCAGACACCCTGTACAGAAGAAATTGGGATACAGATCTCAAATCATGTATGAAGAATAACCTGAACAAGAACTGAATAGGTAAAAATTATGTAGGCAAGAACCATATGACAGCAACAGAGATTTTCATAGGCAGAAAACTTGTTAGAAATAAATTTCTCCAGAGCCGATGTAAACATAGGGTCTGGTAGAAATGTTGATTATGTTCAATTTATGAAAAATTATACCAATAATTATATCTAATATGGACCTGGAGTCCCTGTGTAATCTTTGATGGAATGAAACAAAGAGGCAAGGAGTGAGAAGTCTCCTAGTATATGACTTCAGCTCATCCATAGACCATGTCACAGAGCCCTTGCTCTGACCTCATTTAAGTGCAGAATGTTTAGCAGAAGTTTTTTTTTGCTGATCATTTCAGCCAAACTTGTTTTCTTCAAGTCTACTAGTCGTTGGAGCGACTAGCAAGATTACATCTTATTTTTCTGTGGAGCTAAACATGTGTAACCAAAGTCAGAAGAGATGACAGTCAGAAGATGGGAAATGAGAAACCAGCCCATATCAAATAGGATTCTCTATTGTTGAAACAAATCTGGAAGTTAATTGGCTTTTTACAGACTTATTTCCCTGAAAGATCAACAGCTCTTGTCACACTCATCACATCTAGTGACATTAACTTTAGATATGACAAGATGGTACCTTGTTGCTACTACATGAAGAAGAGTTTTTCAAGAGCAATGGCTGATGATACACCTATGGTGCACAACATATGGCCCATGGGCTACATGCAGCCCACAAGCCCCACTGTGACTGGTGGCATTTTAAGTGCTACTATGGCTCCTGTCCTGTTGACCATGGCTATGGTCAGCCAGACTGCAGCCTGCAGTAGGTGAGTAAAAGTCGTAAATGGCCCTCACAGCCTTTTGAGTTGTGCACCCCTGATATACAATATCTGACAGACCCTTTCTTTTATTGGCAACATAAGCCTATTAGGGCACAGTAATCTGATTTTATTGTTCTTCTAGCAGGGAACTACTTGCAGAAACATAAACTTGATGCCAGTCAGTATTCTATTAAGTCACTATTAACTTAGAATTGAGGAATATTAACAGACGTAAAAGACACTCCCCTTCACATACTGTGCACTTATGGACACAGTAAGTGTCCATATGTGCACAGCATGTAAAGGGGTGCCAAGGGGGTGGCCACCCTTCTGCTGCCCCCTCCCCCCCTCCCCCCATAAAATATGCCACTGGGGTGGGCCCTAAATATTCATTTCACATATTACCTTTATATTTCATCATGCCCAAAAAAAGTAAAGAAAGAGACATGGTACCAATATTTCAGCCTCTCTTTGGTGGTCAATCTTGGGTATTTCAACAGGACTAGTACTTTGAGTCACATGGCTAGATGCAAAAAAACTGGTCTAGCAGACCATGTAGCAGAAATTATCAACAAACATGAATGACCCCCTCACCACTCTGACCGGAATCTAATAATTACAGTAGGTGGAGTTGTGTGGAAGTAAGTATCCAAAAGAGAAATTAAGTGACCTGAATTGATTAAGGCCATTGCTGAAAGAGGAGTAGAATCATGTCCATCCAGCATAATCAACCAGCAGACTCAATGATTGCAGGTTGCCATCAAAAAGGGAGACACAGAAATATTTTGTGAATAGTTACAGTGAGTCTTTGTGTCTGGTCGAGATTCAGTTGATTCTATGAGAAAATATTATGTGAAATATGACTGTGATTTGGTATGAATATTTATGGCACATAGGGTCATTCCATATCAAATCACCCAATGGATGAGGTACTGTCTTAGAATTCGATAAAATTTGTTGTATGGGGTTCTTGTGGCTGAAGAAGGGAATTTTCCAAGTTTGGTTGCATTTTGCCAACTTGTTTGAATGAGGGCACCACAAGTATTTCCAAAATAACTTCGTTCATTAATTGGGTACACAGTTGGGAAAATAATGCAATAGGAACGGGCCAGAAGGATGTTGCTATCATAATTCTGACACAAATGTTTCTGTGCTACATGCTTCATTCCTACATAGTTTCTGGCCAAAGTGTATATTGTTTAAGCCTCTAAATGGCTTACTGTCTACATGATTCTCGCCAATGTGTCTCTATTGGATTGAGAATCCATAAGACTTCTCTGAAACACAATATAATCAAGAAATCATAATTTTCCATATCACAGTGGGGAATTAACAGTTACAAGAAGTGGCACATTCAGGTTGACTAAGATTTGACTTCATGTATTATTGACAAGAGAGACTTCATCTTCAACTTCTGATCCAAGTGGGGAAGACCTCACTGCTTTGTACCATTGATCTGTGAGCATGGACATTTGAGTCTGACACTCCTTTAGCTCCTGTAAGAGGAATGCAGTTAATGAAGAGATCTTGAAGGTTAACTTACAAGATTAACCAAGAGAGATAATACTTACTTGTTTTGAGAAGTGTTTCCGGAATAATGGAATAAGGAAGGTCACATCCCATTTTAGAAATCCCTTCAGGTTTTGTGTAGATGTTCCTCTTTCTTGATATAATTCATCTTCAGTAAGCTCTGATAAGTGCTCAGAGTCAATGGTTTGACCCTGCATGGAAGGGTAATAAAGCACTATGTAACACAACCTGACAGGTAGGAGATGAGATGGAGCATGCATACACAAGTTCCAGCTTTTATATTTCAATTGTTTTCTAAAACAATCATTATAAATCTGAAAAATAGCAAGATAACTATTATCCAATTAAGCTGTTGGGCATTTCCCTGTCAATGAGGCACACTTGGGCATAAATTTATTTCTTATGACATGTTAATGTAACAAAAAGGAAAGATGAAAGTTGTGAACACTCCCCTCTAATTGGCAGACATAAACCTCTAATTTCTGAAACCAGAGTATTTTACTTCGATGACTCCATGAAGCCCCTGTGTGAGAACTTAGTTTGCCTTTCTGGCTGCCAAATTAATTTCCTACTTACAATTTCTTTGGTTTTGCTGAGGGTAACTTCTTTAGAACTGGATCGCCTCTGCCGTCTATTCTGTGAATCAATCCCCATTCTCCTTTCTCGACTTTGGAGAAACTGTTGCAGAAAAACACAACATATAAGAATATGGCAAGTGCCCTGCTTGCAGGCAAAAGCAAAAAGGAAAGCATATAGGGTAAACGGGAGTAGTGGACCACTCTTAAGGTTTTATTCCTACAAGATGCAGAAAAAGCTTCAGTTGCAATCTTCCCTTATGTTAGCATTAAGAAGTAATGTTCCCCTCAAAGGCTAACAGAAAGCCAGCAACATCTAGAATTATTTGTGGTTACTAATTGTCTCTAAGTTTTTGCATAAGTTTTCCCTTAGAGAAACTTAGAGATAATATAGTAACCACAAATAATTCTAGATGTTGCTGGCTTTCTGTTAGCCCTTGAGGGGAACATTACTTCTTAATGCTAACATAAGGGAAGATTGCAACTGAAGCTTTTGTGTATCTTATAGGAATTAAACCTTAGGAGTGGTCCACTACTCCCCTGTTTACCCTATGAGGGAGATTTCAAATGTAATGTTACTGAATTTATTTCAAGTTAACCATGACTGATATCAGATTCAAATTGAATACAAGTGTTAAGCCATGTTTCCCCTTACCTGTCCTATTTTTCTACATAACATCCATCACATTCCACACATTATCTGGAAGAGTGAAAGAGGTGTTATAATCACTAGGTGATAGGCCAGGACTGTACAGCAATGGGGAATTATTTCCCAACTGATCTTCAGAATGGCATCAATCACCAGAGTTTCACCATACAGGCTTTGATGCCCTGGTTAAATGCTGGAGAAAACGTATGGAATGTGACAAAGGTTACATAAAGAAAGAGGACATGCTTGAGCAGTGGCGTAGGGAAGGAGGGGGTTTAGGGGGTTAGAACCCCCCCCCCCCCCTTGGGCTTCCCAGTCAGTGACACTGACAGGCATATTTCAACTTTCCTTGGGAATTCCAATTTTAACTATACCCCTTTGAGGAAAGTCTAATGTCAGTCCACAGACCCAAGATGCAAGACCATGATTTCTTTGAAACTGTAAATTCTGGGTAGTGGAGCTAGGCGTAGGGTTGGGTGTCTACCTGGCCTCAACCCCCCCCCCCCCTTGCCGATTTCCTGCCTACGCCACTGTGCTTGAGTAACATGACTAAACTCTTGTATTCAGTTTTGACCATATATCTGTAAGGGTTAACTTGAAATAAATTCCAGTTACATTACTTTTGGAAACCTCCAGGCACTTAAGTTATTACAGCATTGATTAACATGCAATTTTTGTGGCTGGTTTACTTTCAGCCACCACAATCTTCCCTGTTCTAATTTTTGGCAATTAATTCTACTCATATAGGTTTCCTCCTTTCAGATAATTAACTCTAGCTAAATAGCTAGCCTTGTTCCAATGTGCAAGGTGTCCCAGATTTCATGTCACATTTAAGTTTTTATTTATTTTCTTAGTAAAAGTTAAGGTATAGGGTAAAGGGCATCCTCACAACAAAAAAGCAGACAATATTCAGATAACCCATTGAATGAAAAAAACCACTATCAATTTAATAAACAAATTGAGAAATACTTTTACTAAGATTATAAAAAATGTTACAAGAATTCTAGGACACTGGACTTTCAACACACCAAGCCTCTCAGGGTATTTTCTCTAAGTTGACATGAAAGCTTAAACTAAGTATCAATATTATTCAAAGGCAGAGGAGCAAAAAATTTATTTTCATGAGCCACATATTTTCAACTGTTACTTTTCAGAAAGACCACCTCATTGGCTGGATTAGGAGGGAGAAAATAGAGGAGAATTTACCTTGAGCAATGGCATGGTTGAGCCTCCAAAAACCAATATGGTGAACAATACAATTATAAGTGTGGTTGTCATAAGGACATGGCGAACTTCATTCCGAAGCTCCAGATGCAGAGCCAAAGCAAAGGCAATAGCACCTCTAAGTCCTGAGAACACAAAGCAAGACATCACAGTCTTATGATCTTATCTTATGAGCATCTGCAGGGAAACATTTGGATACTTGGATACTCACCACTGAACCACATGGTGAACATCATTTTTCCAGTAATTTTGTGCTCTCTGAAGTGATTGACTAGATAGGAAAGGGGGAAGATATTCGCAGCTCTTCCCAGGAGAATGAAAATCAAGCTCCAGATTACCAATGAAGGCTTGATCACATGTCTGAAACTGAAGATGGCCAATCCAAGGTATGCAAACATGCACGATTCTGAAATGAAGAAAACCTGGATGCTAATACAGTGATTTGTGAGTGAACTAAGGGGTCACAAAGCAATTATAACCCAACCCACCAGCAATGAAGGCCAATGTACGTAGTGTTTGTTGCATGGTGATCTGAGTAACTGGGGAGAGGTTGAAATGGGTATAATGAGACATCACAATCCCATTGAACAAGATGGCCATAATACCTGAAACAAGACAGAGGCTCTACAAAATGATCAAACATAACATAAAATCATTTACTTCAGACATTATTTGAAAATTATGCATCCATACAATATCCAGGGTAAATCCATCCAAGTTCAGATACTATATACTATAATACATTGTTATAAAACTAAGCATTTGCAAGGTCACCCTCAGAAACAGCTCCTCCTAGCAAGATCTGGATAAACTGTTTCTGCGGGAGACATCATGAATACCAAGATTTGTAACAGAGTTTTATAGTGTCCAAACTCAGATGGTTTCACCCTATCAAAAGTCAGGAATGAAAGAATTGTAGTGAATGGATTATTTCTTGATGTGACAGTTTGGAACTCACCCATCTACCTGAAAGGATGCAGTCTATAATGCCAAATTTATCATTATCTCAAAATCTGGTCCAATTAACCCAGCCACCCAGAGAGATCCAAACTAACTTAAGTTGAGCATAATAATCCTAAGTAACCCAATGTGACCTAAATTGACTCTGAGTGATTCTAATTGAATCATTTACTTGCTCCAGGCTCATTAGGATAATTAGGCTCACATTTGATCAGTGGATCACTGAGACCAGATTAAGCAATAACTTTGTGATTACAGTATCCTCTAGGGTAGTTGGATGAGATCCAAATAGCCTAAGCAAGAAATAATTTGCACACTATAATCCTATGATTCCTGAATTCTGCTATATCCTGTATTTAGGTGATCACAATGTCATATAGTCAAATCATCCTTAGTGATACGGTATATTTATAAGAATGTACAAAATAGGTGCATGGGGTCAGACCATAGCCCAGTCTCAATCCAAACTAGACAAAAAATTTTCTTCCTCTTGTGTGGTGTATTTGAGGTGATGGACAAGAACTTCAATAAGAAAGTTGACAAGAAATAACAAGAAATTTAATATGAATTTTAACATGTAATGAAAAGGTTCAGTCTATCTCATGTGGTACATAGACAATTTAATCCACAAAGCCAGATAATTTACCATGTTTCCAGAAAGTTTTGTCCAAATAACATATCACTCAAGAGGTATGCAGTAAAATACCATTATAATGTATTTCTGGGGACCCAAGAATTTTCAATGTTAAACTGAAAAGACATTATAATGAAAAATGAGGTAAAATATAAAAACTAATGAAGAACAAATATAGAGTGCAATAAGCCTGTACTTGTTCATTTCTTGCAGTTTATGGTTGTAGTGATTGTTTTCAAATCGCTGTTGTTATACCAGCTCTAAAAGTTAACATTCAATTGCATTTGTATGCCATCATAGGCAAAAAGGATTGGGTAAAAGCTGGTAGAAAAAGAACATCTCATCAGCATCAAAAATACATCATAATAATTCTTCATAATTTCACACAGTTTCGTCTTGTGTCATTGTTCCGCTTATTCAAAATTGGCATACTTCTCTTCACCAGAAATTTGCTTCCAGATATTCCATTTCATTCACGGAATGTGAACAGTGACCCACTCCTGGTTTCAAAGCCCATAATGTTTACAATTTCTCGAGCTTTCTGTTGTAGCATCAGGCCAGAGACAGGAATGTTTCAGGCCAGCACATCTTTGAATCACATGGCCACTGCTGCATCAACTTCTTGAAAATTTCTGAGATGCAGTCTTTTTCTGTCAGGACAAATTATAAATTGATCCAACAGTTTTATTTTCTTGCAGTCCTTCACTATTGTTCCTACAGTCGACAGCACTATTCCAAATTGCTTCACCACATCAAACTGCTTATTCCCCCTAACTGACTGCTTTCAATATGGCTTTTTGCCTTTCTGTGAAAATTGCTTCCTTTTTTTCACAAACAAGATCATTAGGTGCACTGATATTTACTAATGATATACACCCTGAAATATTTACAGGATTAAAAACTAAGCAAATGTGTATGATTTAGAAGAAAATACCAAATTCTCGCATGACATACACCAAATGCAGTAGCCTATAAACTTACTGAATCCTATTATAAAGAAATTGCCTAAATGCACTAAATACAATGATTGACAAGGAACACTAGAAGGATAAGGAAGGCCATTACAAGGAGGATGCTGCAAATCTTTCTCTTGACTATTAATTGATAGATGCGGGGCAGAGTCTAGGTTGTGGACACAAGGCAGGAGCCCCTGCTGAGTCCCCATAGTTTCTCCTTGCTTTTTCTCCCTTTCTGGTTAAACTTTCAATTTCTTTCATAGCTGCTGGAATACTAGAGTATAGTTAGACTTATTCATGTGCTTTCTCTAAGATTCCTATTTTGGGGGATGGTAATTTCTTAGTTGAATATTGAGTATGTATTCACCTAACATTCCTCCATCTTAAATTTTACAACTGTTGGTATCAGAACACAACCCCATTTCTGTGAAGATGAAACAAAATCAACATTATTCAGTTAACATTACAAATGTGCGGTCTTCAAAATACAAATGCACAGTGGGCTGTGCATTTTAGTTAAGAGTTTTTTAGTTAAGGGTTTAAGCAATAACAGGGTAGTGTAGGAAGAAATCACACTTCAATCACACAACGTATTTCAGGAAAGTATATGATGTTTCACTAATTTGAACCCCAAATTTTTGCAAAATCAATCTTGCAATTCTACAGATTCACTCTTTCCAGCAGCCAAGTAGATCTCATGATACTTTTTTTGTAATGCTAGAAGTAGCCATTTCTGAAACACGAGAACATCTTTTGTCATTCATGTTGCTACAACTTGCTGAAAGTAAACTCCTCACAGTTTTATTCCCAATGCAAGTATCAACTCTCAGAAAGAAGCAGAATAATGCTGTCATATGCCAAAAAAGATACAGCCCAGTAAAATCTGAAAAGTACAAAACGTTCATTCATCCCTGGAATTACCCCTCTGTGATTTACAGGGGATGACAGCTCTAGCTGTAAATGATGCATCATTTTTGCTAGGACATTGTTTCACTTGGGGTATACACCAAATCGAGATTAACACAGTCTTGGTCCATCTTTTCTTAAAAATCAGTCAAATTGTTGACAATATTTACAAAAGTTTCAGTTTTGTTGCTTTGACAATATCAGAATCATGATTTTTTCTGCCCCATATAAAAAACTATTGCTAAATTTCCATGAGACTGGGTTCCTATGTTTGTGGGAACCTGAGATATTGGATTTTTTTTGGCCTATTATTGCCTGCTAACCCACAGTGGGACATTAAAATGAAATATACTTTAAACCAAAATTCATTATGAAATCTACAGCATTGTTTGCATGGTGCATCTGGAGGGGATTTGTAAATAATAAGTTATTCTAGAAAGTCTGTTAATCTGAGGGCCATTGTAATGGTATTTTACTGCATTGTGCAGTACCTTTTAATTTTTGCATTAGCCATACCTGTACTCTGAAAAGCTGATAATTTTACAACCTCATTCCATTGAGCACTTGATTTCAACCTTAGAGAGAGCCCAGAGAAGCACTTACCAGATAGGTGAAGTCCTTCAGCAAGTCCATATGGTGCATAGGAGAAAACAAACATCATGGCGAATTCCAATGAGGGATTCTTTTGAAGATCAACATGCTTCAAGAGGTACAACTGTAGTTAAGGACTACTAGATACAAGGAAAAACCATGATACAACCTGCAGTGCACTGTGCCATTAGTGAACAGTACTATTTCAATTCAGTTTGAAGCTAATTTGTCAAGGGCAGCATGGCATATGGGATTCTGGGGTGGAATGGCAGCATTAGGACCACAACATTATACAAAGGCTGATTGATCAATAGCAAGACTTCATAGGACTGGATACCTTAAATGTAGCATTTCAAATCAGTCTCCAGGATAAGGGAAACTAAACTTCAAACCCATGCACATCTTTTTCTTTTTACCATAAAATCTCAATTAAATGTGTACTGTAAACAGGGAGACAGAGTATTCAACTTTCATCCAAATTCATTGAGCTAAAACAAGGCTGCATCACTTAGGAGAAGTTTTCCATCTAAAATGGATGAAAGTCCAAGAGCATGAGCTTTTAGCTACTTACAGTCTCTGGTTTCAAGTTGTTGACTCTACCTTATATCAGCCTAAGAAATTTAATATACAAGGGGTGATCAAATTCCAGGACTGAATTTTTTATGATGCTTTGATGACTCTTTCTGACTACTGATGGATGTATCCTTCGAAGTAGTCTTCTTTGGCATCTACACAAATTTTCCAGTGTTTCTTCAGCTGCTGGAATAATTGATGACACATGTCTTTTGGAATCACAAGCAGCACTTGTGGCACATTCATAACGCTGCTTTAAATGTCCTGAAATTTCCTTCATTTTCCAATTTCAGCAGTTTCTGACCTATCTCAAAATCACCCTGCTTTGTAAACAACCCAACTTGCTGGACCTAGCTCATAGGGTTTTCTTCCTTTTTTCCCCCTAAGCTAAAGAGTGTGCCAGAATGAAGATTTCAGGCATTCAAAGCAAAATTGTAAATGCAATGCAAGCACTGTTGGTGATTCCAAATGTTGAGTGTCAGCAATGTTTCCATTAGCTCAAGAAACACCAGAAAATTTGTGTAGATGCTGAAGAGGACTAGTTTGAAGGATATAACCATCAGTAATTGGAAAGAGACACCAAAGTGTCATTAAAAATTTAGTCCTGGAAATTTTTTATCACCCCTTGTATTTTATGCATCTGTTGAAAGCATCAGCCTACTAACTAACAACTAATATTAACCTGTAAACCGTTTTTGGTGTGATATTATGCACCTTGTTCCTGTGGGTCATTTGTTTCTATTTAAATTTAATATTACATGTCTGTAACATTGCCTTATAAAGTAATTGTTTTCTAGGTAATACTATGCATGTGTTGGGTGCTTGGTTATGATATATTTTGTACATCAGGGCACAGACAAAGACATTTCATTTTTTAAAATTAAATCACAGAGTGTAGACATGGCTACTGAAGTTGAAACACTTGAGGGGTTCAGCACTTCAGGTGATCGAAATTGCTTCAGTAAGAAGAAAAGTGATACATGGGATCAGAGTTGAAGATTTTTGTTCTACTGTACCCTGTATAACATGAATAAAAGAAACCTACTGGACCTCTTAGCCATATGATTTCAGCCATCATTTGGAGATTTTCTAAAATCTAAGCAAACCATTTGCCAGAGCAGAATGAGAAATTTGGTTCATGCATTAAAAATAAGAGCTATCAAGAATAATATCTGGCCATTAATTTTTAGGAATGGGCAACCACCTCAGGTTTCAGAATCTGAGGAGATTTCACCTTCACAATCTCATCTTCTTAGATTTTGAAATCTAAGTCAAAAAGTCATGAACAATTTCATATTAAAATGTATGCAGTTGTCCAAGTTCATGGCAATAATGTAACCATTGTAATGCAACATGCACATATATAGGGTATCAACCATCAGAAAAGTGAATGTATGCATGAAAAGGATATCAATGCTGAAATCAAGGCAAACATCACACCAATAGCAGCAGATGCGAAGAATACAAGCCCAAATCTTCCCATGCCATGGAAGAAAGCTTCTGACAGGGTCATTGACTCCCAACTTGGCATGCCAATCTCAAGAGCTGTCCTACAAAAAAAAAAAAAAATATTTCTCTATCTTTACATAGCTGAATGCCTGAAGTACAAAAGGCGATATAAAGTTAAGCAGACATGGTCAGGACGATAGCAACAGCATCATTCAAGATGCTTTCTCCGAAGACCAACATATTCAACACAGGGTCAACATCCAAGGCATGGAAGATGGCAATAGTTGCAACAGGATCCACTGCAGATATCAGAGAGCCAAAAGCAAAACTCTCAACAAAATTCAGCTGATAGATGAGGTCAGCCTGTAAATGGAAAAACAGAATATTAAACAGAAATAATGGAAGTAATTGCAAAAGATGTGTTGTTTCTCACCATCCCAAACAAGTAGACGCCACCACCAACAACCAAGGCAGAGATAGTAGTCCCAATGATAGCAAACACAAGGATGGATCCAATATTCTGGAAGAAGTTTCCCTAAAAGAAGACATCTTGCAATGAACTTTTTCTCCCCTCTGGGACATAACCATGACATTGAGCACCCATTTCAATGGTCTACCTTATGCAGGTTGTAGCCAGATTCAAAGATGATTGGAGGTAGGAACACAAGAAAGACAACATTGGGAGGAAAGGCCTCTTCTTTCTGTAATATACATGTTTGGAATCCATAAGCAGCCTAAGCATAACAGCATAAGCAGTATCCATAAGCAGCATATTGCAAACCAGGAAAAGACCACCAAGAGAAAGGGAATTGTCTCTAATTCCATCAGGAAGAATTAGGCTTCTAATGAAGTTCCTAACTGGATAATGCCAACAATATAGATGAGTACTAAAAAATCACAAACTGAGCCCATTTGGGCTTAATTCACAATTCATTATGAATCACAACATGGGATACTGGAAATGTTCTACATAATTCAATCAAAGAGGGGAGTAGTAAGGAGATTCCCTCCCCATCAAGATGTATTGACCTCAACTATATTGATGGTGCTTCAAAGCATTTGTCCTTTCAAAACAGCCATTGTGAGTGTCCTAAAAAAAAAGGCTAATTTGAATGAGTACTTCATATCATGTTCTTTACATGTTGCAATTGGCAGCGGCCAATATACTCTGGCTGTTCTGGTGCCTTTGGTTGATACCCATTGGTCAAAGGCTGGAGTAAAAGCCAGAGTATCTTGACTCATATTCCACATTGAAGCCAAGAACATTGGTTCAGACAAAGATATTTGAGCCTCTTTGTCTTCCTACTCTACACATTCAACTCACTTTATATTTACCTGGCAGTTATACAGATCTGATACAGATGGAGCAACAACACTCAGAAGAAGAGCATGATGGATACATTGGTCAAATATGAGTTTTTGACATTTTGATCTCTGACATTCTCTTGGTCAGACACCATTGGGCATAATCTTCAGGTACATAATCTCTAACTGTGGTTGAAAATTCACCATTTGGAATTTTGTCAAATTTTGACCAGGTACATTTCGAATGTAGAACAGATTCAACAGATTTCTTTGATTCTGAACTAGGCATAGATGGAAATTTTAATGAAAAACTGCAAGTGATCCTACTCACAACAGAGAGATAAATGAAATAATACTGCATGCATTACAATGAAAATGTTAGAAAGAGGAATCAATGTTCACCAGGCTGTGTGGGGTCACTCGTGGACCCTATGCACAATTTCTAATGTTAGAATGCCTAAATCTCCAAAGGCCCTGATCATCATGGACAGAAATGCAAATTTCACATTAAGCCTTCATTTCTGACACTCCATAATATTGAAAATGGGACTGAACAATGGAAGAGTAAGCAAAAGAGATATCCCAAGGGTCTCAAAATGATCTCAAGGCCTAGAGATAAATTTGTTACATGACTTAGTGAATGTCAATGAATGGCACTAACCTGCCAGTTTCCAAGGTCATGTGTGGAGAAGATTTTCAAGATCATTCCAACAAGTGCACCAAGGAGGACAACAACAACACTTTCTGGGAGGTAATGGAATTTGGATTGGAGTAGAAAATGGATCAGAAGAATACAAAGTGCTATAAGAGGAAAAATATCCATTTCAAAACATTAATCAAAGTATACAACCCATATAAACTTATCAGAATGGTTTCACTCACCAACAACAGCAAGAACAAAGAAAATGGACATCGAAGAGGTGCGTTCCTCCTCTGCTGTCCCTTTCGTGGGCAACTTGACATGTTGTTGTTGTGCTTTGATTGCAGAGAGATTTCTGTGGATATAAAATACCCATAATTTTTAAAGTGCAACCTATTCACACTTTGGCATTTTAACTTCCATGAGGAAAATGATGCCATTCATGTTCATACATGTACCTGTTATACACTGAAGTCTATTGTTACAGGGGAATGGCTTAAAACAGCTGCCGACTTGGCCAATAAACCCACATAGAAGTGATATCTTTCTTCCAGAAAAATGAATTTTTTTCCCTGAGGCGAAAATGGCAAGTTTTCCTTCTTCATGGCACTTTAGAAATCCACCTGTATGCACCTCTAGAACTTTTCTTGTGCATGGTGCATATGGTGCATATGTGTTTCATGTGCATTCACCAATCTGCATCATCCTCAGTTCAGTTCTGTTAAGTTTTCACAGGCATGCAGTCTCCCTCTCCATCCCAGATCACAGTGTGGCTTTGCACACAGAAGCATGGGAGAATGTTTTGACAAGCAGAAACAAAATAACATTTAAGTGAACTTATGTTGGTGAAATTTATGCTTCACCTATGGACATTTCCAATAAACAATGACTCCACACTCACATCTAGCTATAAGAGTTCAAGGTAGGAGGCACATGGTTAGTCTGATTCATGATTAGATTCACCGGATGATTTCTCCTCACTAATTCTGCCATACTTTCAGCATTCAAATCCAGATCAACATCATTTTCTTTATCTGATTTCAATAATTCATCATCATGCATTAAAATGGCAAAAACTCACCACCGCTCCCACATGATTATGCAAAACCAGACTAAACCAGATATGCTATACATTTTCACTTCAATTAGCATTCAAACACTCAACAGTGGCTAAAACATATATGATTGGTCTTCTTTTGCGGCCTCCATATTTTTTCCCAGTTTTAGTGAGACCATGGATTTGTCAGCTAGATAAGAGGAGATTGTTTCCTATGCACAGGTTCTTTTTTCTTTAGTCTAGCTTGAGAAGTTGCTGAGATATTGTTGCTCAAAAAAGTTCCATACCAATATGCACTGGAAGATGCAGACCAGGTACTGCATGGTGTACCAGTGCACCTGAGGTTATTATGGACAGGCAAAAGGTGCATACCAGTATGCCTGTTAATGCAGATTGATTAAAGAGAAGTTCATTGTTGAAAAATTAAATCTTTAAATTATGTGCATTGCTTCTTGAAGATTTCTAACCTCAACTACAGTACAGGGTGTTGCACATAGATAGCCCCCCCTCCACAGCCTAAACTATAGGAGCTAAGAAAAAAACTCATATCATGAGAAAGAGCATTCATTTTCGAATCTAAACATGTACTTCTCATAATTTGTATGCACCCTGGTTCTGTCTCTGAGAGCTTTAATATGAGTGGGGTAAGATGAAAAGAGTCACTTAAAGAGTTCGGTGTCATCTTCCACATCCTTCAACACCATAGTGATGTCGCTTTGCAAGGCTTCCCGGGAGAATCCATGCTGCTTGCCCTCTATGTGCATGAGCCTCAACTCGGTCTTTCAATGTTCTCAGCCACATTCAGATTAGGAGAGTTTCCCTGCCATTCTGCATTTCCAAAAAAATCCAATCCCCAGGTCTTTCAGCAATTGCTGTGTGATCAAAGCTTTGAAAAACAAGGCTTTATCAGACAGAAGCTGAAAGTTTAATATTTTTCTAAACCCATGAACGGGTAATGAATTCAGCTCTGGCATCATGAGCTCGAAACGTAATAGCATGGATGGGATTAATGAATTTAAGTTCTTCACCATCATATGACATCAGAAAAAAACAAAATGGTATGGAATAGATTCTAAATTGAACAAGGATTCCAAAATATATTCAAAATGTTTTCCTAGCTCCTATAGTTTAGGCTGTGGAGGGGGGGGCTATCTATGTGCAACACCCAGTACAATGGCTGACTATGACAATGACTATGACCAGCACTAGATAGTACCAATAAAAGACACTTACTCAATGTCAGGTACAGGTGTAGGTGTAGAGGGAGTGAAGCTCTGGATGACAGAGATATTATCAGTTTCATTTATAGCAAATGTAGTTGAAATTCTTGTAGGAATGGTACTACTTTCATTGTCAGCAATGCTCCCAGAGCAGTAATTCACCACCAAGCATATAGGTATTAGCCATAACGAATGTATTACAAGTGCCATCTGCAGGAAAATATGCCAATATTATAACAATCCTTTCATCACCAAGAATGATCCACTTAGCCTGACTAATCCCCGGCAGTCTGAAACTGCTGCCTCAAATTGGCTATCCTGGGGTGATTGCATGTAATTGTAACTACATGTTTCTTGCCTAAGTGAAAGTGCTCAGGAGGTATGAAAAAGAGACCTGTAAATCGATAGTTCTTTATTCATTTTCTGCCACTGACAGTCCAGCTGTATGATCCCTTGGTGTATAAAGCCATATTAAAAGAAACTAAATATAAATAAATAAACATATCCTTGTTCCCATTATTACAGCAGGAGACTGATTAAACAAAAAATGGATGCAAAAATTCCAAGAAAAAATAAGGAGTGAAAATGAAGAAACATAAGATTATCTTCAAGGACAGCTGTCAACAGATATGGTATTACTAGTACAGAGGAACTATCATACAACATGTGTATCACAATCATTAGGACTTCGTGCATTCCATTTGGCAAGTCCACTCAACTGAGATACAGGATTCACTGCAACTAATGTGACACCAAAATTGATGGGAATAAAATAGGATTGCAGAATGTTTTCAATTCTGTGCAATGTTAGAATAACTGGTATACATTTCTTAAGAGAAACATAGCATCATTCTCAGTTGAGCTCACATCTATAAATAATTTTTAATTAATTCAAGTGATACAAGCATGCATTTGGACTATGCCTCAGCATAGATCTATTTTAGTGATAATTTTACAATTATGCTCAAAAATATGTCAACCTTAATATTCAGCAAATGGTGAGGTGGAATCTAGTTGAACTCCTAAGTGAGTATTTTTCCCCTACACATATGCCAGTTTACTGAATTCAAATTAGACTGCAAATAGTCTATAATCAAATTTCCAATGGCCTAGCCCAGAAGGTCCAGAAAAAAGGTCAAACATGCAAAACATGACAAATATCTGTAGAATCAAAGGTATCATTACCAAAATGGTACATGCTATGCAAAAGGAAACCAAAGCCATGAACTACAACAAGAATTGGCAAGAGAACTGGACTAAAGTGATCTGCATCCTGACATGTAACCATGACACACTGACAATGACTCTATGAGATTCCATTAAGAGAAACAAAAACAGAGACAATGGTTGAGTTTTCTGCAGGCAGAAGGGGCTCTTGCTGCTTCTGAGGTAGACCATCAACATCATTATGACAAGAGCAGAAACATTATGTCATCCATATCACACAGGGTTGTCAGAAAGGTAGCACATTATTGTTCATAACAGGATATAAATGCTCCCAACATCTTGCTTGATTGCAGGAAGACAAAGGACATTGACATGCCACTCAGCAATCCTTGACATTCACTAATACTGAATATGCATTATGGAATGCACAGTCTTCCACAATCACCAGCTGATGTGAAACTTTGACTTCCCAAAACTGGAAGATACTGGGACCAAATGATATCTAATATATTGTACTCAGGATATAAACCACTTCAACAGTCCCTCCATGTGATCAAAAGGAATCACAGTCAGACAGTTTCAATTGAAAAAGAAAACTAACAGGTAAAGATCTGCAATCTCAGAGGCAATAGAATTTCAGAAGAGATAAATGTAGATGTGACATATTCTCCACAAGATCACCCCCCCCCCCCGGACGGCAAAACACGAACCAGAATCATCTCTCAATGCATATTATTACAGAGTCCAACTAGCTTGTCAAAAAGTGATAACTAGTAAAGGCCTGAGAAAGACAAATAAGACATGCCTGTAAAGCAATACTGTGTTCTGAAGAAAGTAAATTTCTTTTCATAGAATCAGAAGAGACCCTACTAGCATCCTCTTTTTCCATGGCAGCAAGCAGTTTGAAAGTGTGAAGACTGACACCATCAGATGATAAATCAAAGCACTTCAGTGTGTCATCACTGATGACATAACATCCATGTCATCCTCTTTGGTGATAAAAAATATAGACAATCATGTCTGAAGTAGTAATTCCTTCAAGGCAAAGGTCACACTTTCACCTTCAGCTCTTCCTACCACTGACTTTTTCCATAACTCTCAGGAAATCACACACCCTCATTATTTGACACTAGCCTCTGACATGATCTTAAATGACCTAGATTCTTAAAGCATTATTGAAATTTTGAGAGAATCAAAACAATAGAACCTCAGAGAAAGTGCTAAGCTGAGTGAAGCTGTATTAGTGAGTAATAGAAAACTTTGTTACCAACATGCTCTCTTTGATGCCACTACCATGATCTCAACTTGACCATAGGAGGTCTGGAAGAGGTGGAGATGTATTATAGAAAGTTCCTGAACACCTCACAGTACACACTTCTCCCTTGGTAAGAGTCACCATACTCTTGTATGAGATGATCAAATCTCAACACGAATGCCTTTTGGTGTTTGAAATATAGAGATGCCTTGCATCACTTTTCCATTGAAAAACAGTGAATACCAGTCACTGGTTCCCAAAATATCCAGCCATGGATATTTTGAGAAAATGAAGCCAATTAACAAGATCTAGACAAGACAAGTGTCTGAATTGCATGCGATCATGTCTCCAAAAGCAATGAAACAGGACTTCATGACATGAGAATCATCTATGAAAACAAATTTCAGCTTCAGATAGATTCACTTAGTGTAACTATATTGTGGACAAGATGCTTGGTCATTACAACAGTATCATCCCTAGGAATACTATTCTTACATGAACCTCATTTTTCCCACTTCATACAATCCATATTCAATTGAGGAAGATGTGAACTGGAGGAATCAATCTCTATGCCATTCACAAGAAAACCTGTCCTAACAAAATCATTTTCATAATGTACTGGAATCAGGCCATATATTCAGAAACAAGTCTGAAACAGAAGCAAGCTGAAGCTGAGGCTAAGTCCATGAAGTGTGTCTGTGCATAATATTCTTCCTGGATATCTGCTGCACAAAGTCTTTTAATATACTTCCACGATTTTCTTCTTCATCACACAAAACCTGTTTCACACTTCTATTTGACCAGTTGCCTTTTGTATTTCTGTTATAGCTTATCCTAGAGCTGCAATATCATGAGCACAATAAAGTTGGTGGAAAACCAATTAAGAAAGTTCCTGGGAGTTATGGTAATATGATAATTCTGTCAAAAAGTGTCTGTTGAATTAATTAATAGTTGAGTTGTTATTGCTGAATTCCTCAGTCAGAGAAAAAGGAAATAGTTTGCAACAAATGCTGAAAAGTATGAGGAAAGGGAACATTCTAACCATTCAACAGCTCTCTCAACAGTTAAGTCAAGCTACTTCAAGCTCTTTACCACTTCATCCTTTTTCCTTAAGTACACTCTTAGGATCAAGATAAATTCACTATTGTCTTGATGCTAAGTTATAATAGAATTAATAAAATAACAATTAGCAAATTAATGAAAAGCCTAATATTTGAGCAGCCAAGCCAGATATAGGCAATTTCAGTTCCAGCTCTTTTTTAAAATGTGATTTTGTGACTAAAAGTAGCTCAGCCTGAAAGAGGAGAAGACTGTGAAAAGGTTAATACTAGGGGCCTCAACTGTTACTGTGCAGCTGGTTAACCATTCAATCTTTAACAACCTTGCTAAAAGTAGACAGGTCAACTGCTTTGATAAATTTCCCTCCCTAGTCTCTAACAAAAAAGGGAAGAACTTGTGTTCCACTTCATTCTCCTCTTCTTGAAGAAATGTTCACCTCAATAGAAGCTAATCTTAGAACTTCATTTAACTGGTTTATGTACAACGGTAACCAGCTTTTTAACAAACTAGCAATTGAGATCCCAAGGTAATTCCTTTTCTATCTCATGATGAAAGTCCATGAATTTGTAATACAGTGTCATTGCAAACTCAGATCTTCTTCATCATCATCATGTGAGAAACAGAGTAATAAAATATAAGAATCACTTCTGGGGGGTGCCTCAAGTCTACTTCTGAATCCTCCCAGAAAGCTACTTCATCTACAGGCTACAAATCCAAATCCAGAGATTATTTGTCATTGCTGGTAAATCTTACACTCCTAAGTCTTATTAGATTAATTTTGAATGCATGATCCCAAACAATTCTTCTTACTCTGTGTTATGCAATAGGGTTTTGAACATCTTATAGCACTGATTTAGGGCAGTATGTGGACTTTTCCAAGGTATGTACTATTCTTGTGTTTGTTTAATATGAAGTCATAAATTGTCAGAAAAAATACATATTCTTACAATAATATGAGTTTAAACAAGCTCAGATTGGGTCAGCATTTTATTAATAGTTTTTTTTTTTTATTCTCAGTCTTATGTACTATAAAGTTAGCACTGGAGGTTCCAAAAGGGCTTACCCTTGGAAAGTGAGTGATGAGTCTCCCAGTTCTCTATTTTTAGAAATTGTTCAACTGTTTTCGATCAAGGGTGATCTGTACAGAACAAGAACCAGATGAACAAGTACATACTTTCAGAAGTCTAAAAGTCCTGCACCACTATAAATGAAAATGGGTGAATTCTGAGAGCTCATGGAAGGAAGTGTACCATATTTGAACATGTACGAGCATAATCAAAAGTTAATGGGAAAATGGAAGATGTAGAGGGAGAGGGGTGTATTGCACTACAATTCTTACTGTAAGGTGCAACTGTGCCTTCATGTTACAGATGTTGGCGGTAAAGTTTCTGAATCCTGTTTCATATAAAAGTGTCACCAAGACAGCATTCTCTTGGCAGCTCCTGCCTAGAGAAAAACTGTAAGCCTACATCAGTTATACTTAACTTTCCACTCCTTCAGTGCAAACTGATTAATAGCCAAGATCATCTACCACTTGGAAAAAATTCCAATTTGAAAACCTCATTAGGCTATAGAACATGTGATTGTTAGGAAGACAACATTAGGAGCAAACCTATTAGAGGGGACTGCTCACCATGAATTCCTACAGCTCATGATTCTTAGAAGTATCCTTGGAGAACAGAATAAATGCTCTGAATGCCCACTGAAAGTTCAGCATAGACTTTGATAGCTATATAAGTTGGACACAGTTACAGGAATGAAGACCTTAACTTGATAGCCTTGTGGCATTCAAAATAAAGCCATGAGAATAAACCACAGGGTCAAATACTACAAATTATACAAGTGAATGGACCAACACCAAACAAAGCTGCCATAGAATATGAACTAATATGAACATTACACAGGGTTTCACTCAGCAGACTCACAGGTGGATACTGGACTAACTCATGCTACAGGACTTAGAAGCACAGGATACAAAACTACCACCTCTCCTTCGTTCAAGGAACACTTTTAGCCGATGCCGGCTGTTTGGTCTCTTCTTCCCGTCCTCCTCTTTACGCGTGCTTGGAAGACTATTTTCCTTCTCATCATTCTTCATCTTGTTACCATCAATGGCAGCATTGTCATCATCCTCGCCTACTTCCAATTCACAGATGCGATTGAGAGATTGACTTTGTCGCATGACGCGATAATGCCTCAAGCGACTGCATCCTCCACTGGGTCCTGCAGGTTTCTTCCTGCCTCCTACGTCTCCCCCACGGCTTTTGCCATGAGAGTCAGAACGACTACGTCGACCTGCAGATCTGCCCTTCACCCCCCCATTTCCACTTTGACCTTGCCTCCCTCCTTGGCTCCCACTGGCACCTGGACCTCCAGAATGATCTTGGGAGTCACTAGAGTCATCATGTGAATCATACACAGAAGTTACGTCTTTCAATTTTGAGAGTTTTCTTCTCCGACTGTCAGAATCTTCATCACTGGCATCTGAACTGCTACAGCTGGGGGCACATTGATACTTCCTGGCTTGTGACTCTCCACCTGTTGCACCCAAGGATAAGTTGAAGGGGGACTGACAACTTTTCTCACCATTATTGCTCTCCAAGTCACTTTCCCCTTCCTCAAAGATCTCCTTCAAGACTAACTGAGGAGAGCTTTTGACACTGTGCAGTCTCCTGTTTGGAGGAGTGGCAAATGTCCCCCTAAATTTCCCTACAGGGGGTGTGACTGGGGAGGAGGAAGAAGAATCTTCTGATGGGGGTGATGGTGATGGACTCTTCAGTTGATCCACCACAATGACACGGTCACCTTCTACCACAGATCGCTGCCATCCCAATTTCCTACTTTCCCTCCCCTGTAGAAAAAAAGCAAATAAAAAAACTCATCATGAAATGTCACATTCAGGAATTCACATCAAATTGCTATGACGCAGCCAAATGTGAGCTGCTCTGAGCTGAATAGAAAATTAGGATAAAGGCTGACTAGTTCACACTAAGCACTATAGGTCTGCACAACAAGGATGTCCAGGTCACACGAGCTGCACATAAGCACAAGCAAAACTTCAACTAAATTCAATATTTGCATCTCAAATGGCCATGCTACCAATGGAAAAGGCTGGAGTCCACATGGCAGTACACTCGCACACTGCAGATAGGCTCCACACTTGCCACAATCTGGACTGTGAGCATTAAATAAATAAGAAAACCCCAGCAATGTATACTGCAACATACACAATAGCTACATTGGTCTGCATATGTAGATCTGAGATACCTTTTAGACTGATAATAGCCAGAAATAGTTCACATACAGTATGAAGAGGGATTTGCAGGCTATATGTGGTTATATACAGGGGACCACATAAAGAAATATTTAGCTCCACCAGTGGAGCCCACTGGTTTCTCTTGGGTATGAAAGGAGTTTACGTCCATTAGCAGCTATCCAACACACTTGTACCATCTGGCCTCCATGCTTTCAGAGTATGGAGACCAGAGCAGCTCAGCATCTTAGTGATGTGTTTAAACTGCATGAAGGATTACATTGTACCTCTTCAAGCAATTTTTCAAATCTTATCCCCTACAGTTGCAAGTAAGTGGAAATGCCATTCACAGACAACTAATTTTAAGGGCATCTCTCCAAACTCATAATGTGATCCTTTCCAGAGAGAAAAGAGACCATATAGTCCAAGGGTGAGTCTCAAAGTTGACCCAAATTTCACCAGCATTCATCAAAACAAAAACTTGTTTGATAGTCACAGTTGAACATACCCCTTACAGTTTGAACATGCACATCTTGGAACTTAGCCAAACCCATTTTCTCTTAACCTTTTCACTATGTGAATTTTGATGAGGTAATAGACATGCGAGTTGCCTTTCACAGTGAAATGGCCTGATTTCTCACTCTTCCAGCTGATAAGCAAAGAAGTAACAACCATTTGGATTGTAGATTAGAAAAAATACATATAACATGGTTTCAAGGTTTGATTTCTCATTTATGCATGTATTCCACATTCTACTCAGACATATTCCAGAGTCCCAAGGCTTCCAATAAGCAAAAGCAAGGCCTCTGGAAAGCACATGGATCAAAGGTAATTATTTTCTATTTGAAAAATAAAATAGTACCTTTCAAAATGCCTTTTAAATGCAAGAGAATGTACAGATGCATGTTTTGACTTGCTAGGGGGGAAACCTACATTTACAACAGAACATAGGGAACATAGAGGACTGCTACAAGGGAATACGCATGCCGTGAGCAGATTTATGCCTTACTTCTGGTGTCCAAACTACGTTCTCCTTGAACTTCATTTTTTCACATCAAAGTTTGGACACCCATGTAATAGGAATTATTAGAAGCCATAAGGCTTCAATGGTCATCATCTTTATCACACTCATACCTATTCATATTGTGTTGCCTGATGCAAAAAAGAAGTATCTGGGTTGTACCATTAAGGCATGACAAGCAAATTACAATCCTATCCAGACTTAACTGTTCAAATATTGGTGGCATTACCTTAATGAAAGGAAAAAGAAAGGCATTTATATCCACCCAAGATAATCAGGGAACACTGCATTTTTTGGACTGGTGTATTATAAAAATTAAATTTACCCACGACAGGCATCTAGATTCCTTTTTCTCATCGAATTATCATCTGTACAAATTCCATATTTTTGTCTTTGTTCAGGCTGAAGGATATAGATTTTTTACAAATGACAATTTCAGATGAACTTTTCTTTACAAGAACATCAATGCCTGGAAAAAAGAACCTTTCAAAATGAGTCTGTGAATTGGAGCTCAAGAAACAAGCATCCAATGGCATGGTTGATAAGCTTTGATCTTGTTTGAAATGTTTGTTTCAATAAAAAGCATTCGGTAACCACCTCCACCTCCTTCAACTACTATCATTTTGCATTCAGCACTTGGCATCTACAGAAAGCCAGACTGGGAATGATAGCTGTAAGATCTCTCTGCTTCCCTGTAACTCAAATCTCAATAAAAATTTGTAAATGGTTTGGGTATGGAAGAATCTGACTGAAGTATCAACTTCAGCATCTGTCCAGAACCATACCATCAGAAGAGCAGGTCTATGGCAAGTTACAAGTAAGCTATTGCCATTTCTAAATACCAATTATTATTAATAACCAAAGATTAAGCAATATACCTCTGATGCAGGAAGAACAGGAATATACCACTCAATTGTTTATGCCGAGGGAACTTTCAATATTGGTCACACATTTGAAAGTGATGCACAAGAGAAAAGCATTTGATTGCATCTAAGGGCCATTACCTCATTGTGCCAAAATTGGGAATGAGTATACTAGAGGTAAATTACAATATAGTTTCAAAGGAGAGGAAAGGGAGGAAAAACTCAACCAAAGAAAACTTAGAGCGACGCCTTGACTGAAAGCACCTCTGCAATTAGTCCTGGGTTATACTACTCATTTGTACCTTATTTTTTTAAAATATAAACTGGTCTTACAGGAAACAAGATAATGGACAAATCCCAATTATAGTTAGGTTTTGGTTATTAGCTGGTCAATGGAATCTCTATACTTCCATTTGGGTTGTACTGATTGTAGTCTATGGCCAGTGAAGATCTCACATACAACAGCAGATATGCCAATGCTGAGCCAATTATGATGAACAGGCAAGAAAAGCAAGCTAATCTATACTATATTTCAGAGTGTTTGTCTCCTTTATGCAAAGACATGCCTCTGATCCTTGTCTGACCAAACTTTGCACAGCTTCCTCATTTGGTCCAGGGATGGTCATAGGCTAGGCGGTGTTTCAAAATTCAGAACCTCCTGCCGGGGCAGGGCCAGCCCTACATCAAATGGTGCCCCAGGCAGGGAGTGTCTTTCTTCTCCCTGCCCCAGGCAGTCACCTAGGTTGCCTGCCTCTAAATCTGGTCCTGCCCCAGGGTACCTTATTTATTGCAGACAAATTTGGGATGTATATAATATTCACCATGCAACTGTGCACTTCCATTAGTCTTAAATATTCTGCACTGTTGTAAACTTTTTTCATGCCAACCAATAAAAGGTGTATGATGCTGCATCTCTGTACTGGTTTTTTGCTCATGGGTAGCTGTAGCAGAAAATTACTACATCACGTTTGAAAAAAAAAAGAAGAAATCTTTGGTGAAGGGATGTAAGAAATGTCTCATCTCACCCAGAAAGTCAAAACTCTAGGCTCTAGACCTTGGAAAAGAAAGCAGAACTCAGGAAATATGTATAATGCAACCTTTTGACCTAGGTCTTGGTCACAGAAAATGTTATCATCCCATACTTGATACTGATTTTTTGCCTGGAAAAGGCTGGAAACATCTGTTCCTCTCTTCCTTTTTTTTAAGGGGGAGGGGCAATAGCACTAGCATGAACATTGCAAAAGCCTGTTGATGATGCAAATAATGCTATTTCAGCAGCTGTTTCTATAGGTAGAATCTTATCCTACACTTGGAAATGCTGCATTTCCAATGGTAGACAGAAATTCAATAGTATATATTCTATCAAACTTCATGCTTCCTCTATACTACCTCTCTAGCAAAGCCAATGGAGGCAGAGGGAAAGGGTGACAAATGGACCTCTGACTTTTCCAGGTGTGAGGGTAAAGACAATATTTTGCTTGTTTCACCCAAGTTAAATGCATATCACTAACAGATTGAATTCTGGTATATTTACATACAGAATCCCCCTGGGTTGGAACCATTTACCTCTCCCTTTTTCATAAGCATTCCTATGCCTATACCCTTCAGATCTGGGTTTACCTGTGGCATGTTGGGTTCATGTGGGCTAAGCAATCATAAATTAAAATAAGAAGGGTGTGAGGGAGCATGTAAGCAACAACAGAGACAGGGGACTTCATTGAATGAGAATAGAGAGTTTGTGAAATCTTGTTTGTGGGCCAGGAACGAATATGGGAAGAATATGATGTCATCAATTGTATCACAATAATGGGCAAAGAAATGAATGTTAAGTCCAACCCACTTTCGTTCGCTGTCACATTCCTGTATTGATTCCACCAACTCTCTGATGAGAGAGGCGCATCCAATTCTAAGCATGAAAGTGCATGCGCTTGCACGTGAACAGTCAGTGAGACCTAGGGAAGGTACTTCTGCTTGTTTTTGTACTACTCCCTTTCACATAAGCTTACCTTACACCACGTGTCTTACTCCTCTGCCTGCTTTCATGTTGTTTCCTGCACTCCATCAAGTGTTGAGTTTCCATCAAACGTTTGGAGTAAACTCGGAAATCTTGCTATGCAAATAGAAGTTTCACTATAAGCAGTGAAAGAGGAGGCCACTAACTCATAAAACTTGTTTGCAATGACCCTTTTTTCAATAATAACCCTTTAACCTTCATTTCCTTTGGGATTTTTTTTTTACCTTGTTTCAGTGAACATCCAGCTGGGAATATAAAATAATGGTGCTCTATGGGGGATTTCAATGAATTCAAGTTCCTTATGCTGAGAACAGGACTTTATTGTGTTTCTAATTTCTTCCATCATCTATTCCCAATGGTGCCAATTGACAACATGAGGTATTTTCTTTATATTTTTTTGGCATACAACTTTTTAAATGTAAGAATGTGTTTCCCAAGAGCTGTAGAATCTGAAAAGCTAATTGGTATATTCTTCTCATGCCCAAAGCATTACTGGAATGAAAGGGAATGACAGTTCGAAAGGGTCAAAGAAGAGTTGCAGTTATGTCTTGGAAGTCTTAAAATCCAAATGGGGCACAAAGAAATGGAAGAACCATCTGCACCAGAGTAGGCCTTATCACCCCTAAATGACCACATCGAGTAATCAATAACCCACCCCTCATCAAGGGTCACCTGGGGGAGTTTGTAGTCAAATGCCTTCACTTATTCTCTCACCCACAGTCTGTGAATGAGCTTTAGAATTTCCTTTTACACTTAAAACAAGTGTAAGGGCAACTCTTTTGTTCCTTCAAACTGACATCACACTGAAGTCATATGGGCCTTGAACATGTGTAAGGCTGTCCCTGTCCATCAAAGATGAAGTTAACACATTCATGCCCAGTGACTCCAGAACACTATGGGTTTAAAAACGTAATATTACGGTTCCCGGCGTCAATGGGTTAAAAATCATAGATCCAATTTGGAACAGATCAGTGTCTGCAAAGCTGCTGCTTGTTAACAACTGTTAAGCTGTTAAAAATCCATAGCTAGTCTACAAGGCAGTTAAATCTATTGGTATTAAGGATTTTAAACTATTTTTTGCATAAAAGTGGAAAGGGCAAGACATACCAATACTGGCATGTGTACCAGCAGCAATCCACTGATTTAGGCAATGGCATTCAGTTCATAGTTTAGGCTTTCAATGAGAATGAGGCTTCCAACATCTTCTGTCAATGCAAAGGTTCCATGACTGTAATTTACATCTTGACCCTTAGCCTTGCAAGTCAATAAAACTCCAAACTCATAAACAGCAGGGTAGGCCTATGCACACACCTATCACCACTCAGACTGAGTAAGATTATACTAGAATAAGCATCTACCAGTCATACCCAATCAGTATCATGGCACAGATGCTGGGTGGCCTGCAAGAATAAAACTTGAAAACAGAAAAGACAATGTGGCTTTAGAGCTGCAAAAATTAATAACTGCAGCTTTTAACACAAATACATTTCTTCATTCAAATAAATCTGAAAAATGAGTGGTCAATATATGTCTATGTTGGTAACCAATTGCCCAAATGATCCAGTCAATAAACTGTCCCATTCTTAATTACAGTACTAAGAGAGGAAAAAGTGGATCCCCTTCTAGCCTCGTGTACCATGCCCTTTTAGAACCAGGAATACCCCTCCATATTCCTGTGAGAGGTCTTAGGGACAGCTTCTGGGCTGCCTTGGCCTGACTGGCACAAGTAATTATGGTATATCACACTCATCTCCTAAACATGGCATAAAAAACAGCCTGTGTGTTCCTGCCATGCATCAGGGCAGGAAGTTTGTAGCCAGTCAGCACAGAAATAGCCTACCCTTACCCAGACAAGATGTACTGCCTCTGAGGTTTGAATTGAAAGCCCTAACCATTTGATCACCAAAACCCAGTAATTAAAGGGACAAGTTTTGGGGAAGAACTAGGAAAGAGTACTTACATGAGGCAACTAGACAAAAAGAAAACAAGGACCCAGACTTAACTATTTTTTTGGAGACCCTCTAACAGGAGAGATAATCTGTATGATACAAACATAGATAATAAAAAGAGTAATAAGATGGATTTCAGTACCTCTGACAAGTCAAGAGGAGGAGCATGTGGAATATCTGCACTGACATTCCCACCACTTGAAGAAGACAGCAGACTCTCCATTGATTGAGCCTGCACTACTTCTCCCCTGGGAACAAAACAAAAATCAATGTAGGTTTGTTATTCTGATTCATGTTTTCATGTTGTCATTTAAACAGAGGCCTGGATGGAAACTTGTAATTGAGTGCAGTGAAAAAAGCATAATCAAGAGAACATGACCGAGAAAGTCAATGGCAGGATTTAACAATTGAAATGAAGAACAGGAAGCACTGACATGGTAGTAGATAAGAAGATATCCTGAATATATCAAGCAAACTAATTATAATTTATTGCTTTGTTGCAGCAATTGGTTTTAAATCAGCTGGGTAATTCAAAAGGAATTTCCACTAGGGGTTTATCAGGGATGAGCTTTACAAAGTGAAGCCTACCAGTCAGCATGATCTTTGGGCATGTATCACAGATGCATTTCAAATAACATCCCAAGATCATGTTTCTTCTGTTAACAGATCAGTTACAACTCCATATTAAATGCATGTCAATGTGGAAGCTTACACTTTGAGCACTTGATGAATTGATGAACTAAAGCAAAGCCACCTAATTATAATAAACTGGTGACTGCTAATTAGTTGAGAGTGTTTGCATCTTATTAACAATATCCTAAATTACTATACTTCCTCACATGACTCAAATATTGCATTCCAATGTTTACTAGGCATTTTCAGGACACCTTATGTATCATGAGGGGCACCTTTAAATCATGCATGAATAAATGCATTAATTCTCCTGCAACAGTAAAATTATTGGTTTTAACAGTATAATTATATTTCAACATAGTTGCCAAATATTTCACACATGTAGGGGTAAAGCAAACAGACCAACACTCTCACCTGGCTTGAGTCTCCTTTGCATGTGCCCCTTGAGATATAAGCATTGCCTGCTCCTGCCTTTGAGATCTGAGCACTCTTTCAGCCAAAAGAAAGTAGGTGGCTGTTATGTGGTTGTATTCATTCCTCTCCAAAGCCCTGGAGGAATAGACTCAGCTTTTTTAAGATGAAAATATCATACATTTATTTACCTTATTTATTGGTATTATCAATGATAATGGATATCAGACAATATCCTAGATATAGGATATTAGTATCAGTGATATTTAGTACTAGCTAGCCATTGTCGTGCCTTTGGCACTCCATTACCAGGATAGTGATTCTTTCAATAATTTATTTTCAAAGTGGCAAAAACCTATTAAAAGTATGTGCCCATCGGAATGTTTATCGAGAGAGAACAAACCTATATTTTTATCAGAATAATTACTCATATTGTTTCTAGTGTGCCTAACTTCAAATCTCTTCATGATCTGCCCTGATGGGTCATATTTGAAAAGTAGGACATGTACTCAGCAATTGAACAGGTACTTCTGCTCAAAGTTTCAACTTTCTTTAGTTCTCTCCTTCATTGAATCAGAAAAATTTCCAAAAAAAGCATCTTTTCAAAAAAATATGCCCCCAGGGCATGTATCCAAAACTTGACATTTTTCCTGAACTCAGAGTCTCAGTAGGTACGTCCATGTCACATTTCAGCTTTCCACGTTTATCTGTTTGACTGAAGCAAAAAAAAATATTTCAAAATATCTCCCCCTGAAATTTGTGCCCCCAGGGCATTTACCACTGAAGCCTGAATTTTTCTGAATTCAGATTCTCAAAAGGTACTTATGTATCAAGTTTCACCTTTCTATCTCTGGCCAATTCGCTAGGACGAAAAAAAATTGTTTGAAACATCTCCCCCCAAAATGGGGGCATGTACCTCAAAAGTTGGATTTTTTCTGAACTCTGCATCCCAAAAGGTACATGTGTACCAAGTTATGTGTACCAAGTTTCAGATTTCTAACTTCTCTAGAACATGGTTAGAATTAGCAACAGTCAGTCAGTCAGTCAGTCACGATCGTCTATATATATTAGATGCTAATATGCAGGTAATAAAATTGAAACTCTGTCTCATAAATCCTTAAGTCATGAAAAGCAATCATGTAGAGAATTTCAGAAGAAATAAGTACTTTGAGTTACTTCATAAATGATTCATTTTGTACTTTTGAAATTTTTGTTCAAGTACAGTAGAGTTCAATACCACTGCCAGATACAGTACGTTCATAACAAGTTCACACAACCATTGAATGCAAACCATTGCTCTCTGTAGGCCTACTGACAGTGGTGGAATAACACTCTCTCCAGTCTTACATATTCCAGTATTCAAAAGTCCCTAGAGCCAAATACCAATAGCATCAGTGCCCTTATAGGGTGTGTGAATTCATCATGAAACCACTGTATTGCCAGCATTATCATTAAAAGAAACAGAAATTTTGGAAATATTTTAGGATATCTCAACCTAATTTCAGTATCATGGCATTTCCAGAAAATATCACTGCTGCTTCCATAGCATCAACTGAATAGGAATTTTCCAAACATGCAGCATGGTTATGAGTCTGTTCAATGACATACGAATACCATCAAATCAAGGCAAATCTCTACCCTTTAAACCTAGCTAGAACTTATAATCCCATAATACCCATCTGCCCTGAGATTTGGTGATCCTGACTCATTATTTAGATTAAAAAATCAATAGTAAAAGCTGAAATTATCTGGCACAAGGAAGAGATGGTGAAAATTGGAAAGGACTAAATTCCACTTTTGGATAGCCAGGACACAGGTTGAGGAAAAATGAAAAGAAAATAATTCCAGACTTTAATAAAACTTAAGGAACATAGCCTAAGCCTACATATTCATAGAATGATGAGTTGACACTTGAGATACATTCATCAGTTTGTCCACTTCTGAATAGAGATGCAGTAAAACATATGAAAAGCATAAAAAATGATGACATAATATATAATATATGATGGTATAATTTTTAGTAATGACTATTATTAAAGACAGAGTATTTGGGAAAGAAATAATCATTCCCATTGTACACATTCATTCTCAAATGGCCTACAAAGTTATTCAGGGAATGAGAGAGAAATTTAAGCCTGGTGATTCCCAAGAGACTAGTATTATACCAACAAAAGATTTTAAAAATGTAGGAAAAGTTGCTAAGGTAAGGCAACAAGTAAATAATATTTATGGTACAATACCATAAGGAGAAAAACACTTACAGTATGATTTCATCTTGACTGGCTATGGAACCAGCTATAAGTTTTTTGAGGATGAAACTATGACTCTCATCAGAGAGATGTTCCCGTGAAACAAGAGGCAAATAATCTGCTGGTTGGGTTGTGTCCCCTTCATTTAGCCAGGGGTCAGCAGCTATATCCTCTAAGGATGCTCGTCTTTCTGGTTCTCTTTGCAGCATGCGATTAATCAACCTGAAACAATAATGAGCTGATCCTTAGAGCAGATAATATGAGAAGTTGGAGCATTCATTTTGAAATACTGATGCCCTTCATTATCTTCCACTAGAGAGGAATAGTAGGTGACATCAAGATTTCCCATGAGGGAACTAAGGTTTTCAAAATAAATCTGGAAAGGTGGGTACAACCTTCGGCACTCTGGTGACACATGCAATGGAACAGTGTATTTGCAGTCCATGATCATCGTCAATGTCTCACTGTCATTTGCTTCCTGGAATGGAGCTTTTCCACACACCAACATATATAGGATCACTCCCAAGGACCATACATCTATAGGAATCAGAAAGCACCATCAGTCATAAAAACCATGACCTCTTAATAAATAGCAGTACCAATACCATAAAGGCCATACATTACAACAGACCATGAGAGAGAAATATGCAGGAACCTACCAACAGCAGGAGCATCATATAAGTCACCAAGGAGAATTTCAGGAGCAGAATAGGCCAGAGACCCACAAGAAGTCTCCAATTTCTGACCAGGAAGAAATTTGTTGCTGAATCCAAAGTCAGTCAATTTGACCATCCCCAAATGTTCAAAAAAAACCACATTCTCAGGTTTGAGATCACGGTGTACAACATGAAGCTTATGACAGTAAGATATGGCATGGACAATCTGTCTGAAGTATTTTCTCGCCAGCTCTTCACTGATGCCTTTCTCATGCTTCATGATGTAGTCATACATGTCCCCTCCATCACCCAACTCCAAGATCAGATACAGTTTAGTGTGAGTATCTATTACTTCATATAGTCGTACCACATTTGGATGCTGTACAAGCTTCATGCACTGTACCTCCTGGTACAGGTGAGCACGTGAAACATCATCCAACTTTGTCTTATCTATAACCTTCACAGCAACTTTTTCACCAGTAAACACATGTCTTGCAAGTTTCACCACAGCATAATGACCTCTTCCCAATGTTTCCTCCAAATCATAAAGGCCTGCTACTTTGCCATCAAACTGCTTGGGGGCCCCAATGTTAGTCATTATGTTCTAATATCGTCATTTGCCATCAACCTGTTGATACATAAGGATGACTGCATGAATTCTCAGAAAACAGACTGGAAGTTAGACCAAGTCAACAGACTATGCCTAGGGTAAGTCCAGGCTACAGCCAAAAATAGCCTCCCAATAAGAGTGTACCATATCTTCATTACTTTATACCATGGGTTAGCCAAGCAAATCCAGATCCTATCTTGATATTAACCTTGATAGGCTTAGGTAGGTAATTAAAATTTGTTTTCATGGATTTGCAATCAGATTTTAAGAACAACAATTCTAATTACCTTGACACCTGATGCCCTCTCTTACAGTGCATGGTTAGACCAAAATATGTCCATCATGTTTTAACCAGTAACACAAAGCGCAAATAACAATTGCACCTAAACAGCCTCATGATGCAACCCAAAGTCAAGAATCTCCTTTCTCCTTGATTGGAAGAACAAGACTGGTCACTTCACAGACACTGTTTTTGGATTGAATTTGTACCCCTCTCCCCCCTCAGAGCACTTCCATTGATCACAGGTAGTGACATTAGTATGTACACTGAAAAATCATGGAGGAAATGAATTAAAGGTGCTTTGCTAGATGTCACCATCTGGCTGATCATTCCAACTGATGAATAAATTTTTCTCCCAAATAAATGGCCAATTTAGACCTATAGTACTTGCTGCCCATTCTTCCTTTCATCCTGTAAGTCCACTGTGACTGCCTGCATGAGAAATGCAAGGAGTCACCTAACTGATTCCCATCAATTTTTAGAATGCAGTCATTTGGGGTGATCGAAGTCCCTTGAGCAACTCCCTACACTGCACACTAAGCTACACTGTTGGGTTACCAGCAGTCAAGCAGTTGGACAAATCTTGGCCTAGACTTCAACACCTATGAGTTTTTAAATAGAAACTCATGAATATGCTGCTCAAGCAATTGGGGTCGATTGGGAAACATGTCCCAAAAATGAGGTCACTTGGCACAGAATGGTCCACACTAGGCTTAGGCTAAGTGAATAATCTTTATTTCCTAAGCCTATCATAGGCCTTAAGCCTAATGTCAGTGTCACCATTACAACTCTTACACAGTGTTTTACAATGAATTCACTCACCCCTATAATGGTAGTAGTGCTACTGGTGTTTTGACAGTGAGTACATCTACCTAAAAACCAGTTCGGGTTGAATGTACAACGGGAGGAAACATTGGTTCCATTGGTATCGATAGGCCCATTGAAAACAAAGATTTATATTTACATATAAAAGGGTGTATGAACTCATCGAGAAAACAGTATGTCTCTACCTACATCTAGGTCTACGCCTACTCGCATCTGTGGACCTTCATAGGCTCAAAGATCATAATTAAATATGAATATGCATGCGGTTGCGTCAGAACTAATGCTCAGCAAGAATAGGCCTGAGCTTAGGGTCTAAAGTTAAGGCCTAACTGTCTATCATAAGCCTAACTTAGGCTAAAGCCAATTTGCAGAGGCTAACCTAAACAACAAATAACATAACTAAACAGAGCACAGAAACTGATGATAAGTCAAGCATACTGCATCTTGCAGCTGCAGTACTTTGAATGGAGCAAAGTTTTTTAATAGAAGGAGTTATCTTACACCAAGGGTGCCCACACGTTTAGTGAGATGGTGAGGTCTGAGCTGCAGTCGCCGCTCACCCTATGGAACCGTCCCGAAAATGTCGATTGGGACATATCCCTCCAGATGACGTACTTAAATCTCTCATCATCTTGTCTATGGGTGACATGCACCAGATTCGTTTAACTTTAAACGAATTCGTTTTCATAATGGGCGTCTATAGGAATAAGTTTATCTCTGTTAAACTGATTCCCATAAGAGACCATTGTGGGATCAGATTAGTTTAGCTCAAACGGATCCGGTGCATGTCACCCTATAACTGGACTTTTCAGCCTAGAGGTGGGAACATTTCCCCTTTCTTGTCCGAGTTCTAAAATTTGAGAAACAGTTAATTACGGGTTCTGATTGAGTTCCCTCTAACTTGCGTTAGATTTGTGTTCGAAATTTCACAAGAAATCGAGTTTGGGTTCAGTTCCAGCTCGCCACAATTTGGTTCATATTCGGTTCCAGTTCGCAGTAACTGAGTTTGGACTTGCCTGAAAGATGGCCATGGTTTCGGTTCGCAATCGCTGAAGTACCAATGAGCTCGTAAGTAGGCTACAGCACAGTCCTGCAAGGACGTAGCCTGGCCGTAGGAACGTCCTCGAAAGTGGGGGGCCAAATAAAATAGGTCAGTTCTGAAATGCGGAAAACTACTATTTAATTCAAACACGATCAGGATATTAAATTCATGTGAAACTAAAATGCAATTATTCTCCTTCCTCAAGAATCCAATTTCGAGGAGCGACAACCTTCTCAATACAATAGGCTTTTATTCATTTCTAGGGAAACTTTGATACTCCATGTGCAAAATTCATTCATCACAACGCCCTTCCTCCGATACTCCGGAAACCAAATATGACTGGAATGACCGGAAGTGAGAGCGATAGACAGACAGGGGAAAGTGCTAGAGGTTGCTTCTTTTTATAGCAGAAGCTTTTCGGTTTTAATCAGGTTTAATCCTTTCCACAGGCGTCTATGAGGGAGGAGGGAGAAGCAAAAAAAAAAAAGACACAAAAGGATTTTCTCCCAAACAGGTTTCTTGCCTTTCACCTATTCAGCAAATCAATAGGTCCTACAATAATTTTTCCCCCCTTCACACCCCGATTTCGAGTTAACCATGAGAAAATCATAATCGGAAGTGAAAATTTCGTTTGAGATATCCGGAAATTCGAGATAAGCGGATTCGAATTAAACGGAATGTTTAACATGGTTTCTTACGGCAGCGGTTCCCAAACTGTGGGTCGCGAGAGGCATCAAGGTGGGTCGCGTACATTTTCCCAGTTTAAAAAATCACTATATCCGCATCCGTTCAAGATAAAACATGCCCAGCATAAAAGGTCGATCAGTTTTCTTCACGTCATAATTACTTTGGGAATACCTCGTTCTGGATTCCGGTGAGTCGCAAAATTTTTTTGTACGTCAGCAAGTGGGACGCGATTCAAGGAAGTCTGGGAACCGCTGTCTTACGGGATTTGGCGGGGACCAAGCATTGAATTTCGAGATAAGTGGAATTTCGACTTATCAGGATTCCAGTTAACGAGTTTTTACTGTACTTTCTTTGCATTGAATGCCCTGCCTCCTTATCTAGGGAAATAATATTGATATTTTTGCGGCTGAAAAGGGCCACTTCCACTAACATGCACAGGTTCCTGTGGAATATTGTCCCTAGGGACAACCAATAATACAACACCGTTGAAAATTTCCATTAATTTTCTGAATTTTCGTCACATTTTGCTGTCTTTGGTTTCGTAATGAAATAAAAAAGCGTTCCAGTTTGAGCACTTCTCTTCCGTGACATGGCACTGGACCTCTATTCACTGTTCTACCATTAAAATGATTCAAGCCAGACTTATGACTGAAGGGGACTGACTCTAGAACCTCCCTTCTTTTCAAGGAAACACTTTAGAGAAGGGAGAATTTTAATCGGATGGGAGATTTTGAACCTGAGACAAAAAAGAACTCCCACTGGACGCTTATCAAGTGTGTCCTACCACGCCAATCCCCCTCAGGCATTAACCTTGCTTCAAACAAAAGATACCCTTTGCCCCCACCATCTGGAAAAGTGAGGGGCAGTGGCGTATTTTACGGGGGGGCAGAGGGGGCAGCCGCCCCCCCTGGTGCCCCTGGGACAGAGCTTGACGCCCCCTTGGAGGTAATAATTTCCCCACCTGGTATCGCTCGGGTGGGGTTTGACGCCCCCGCACTGTTGCCCTGCCCCCTTGACCCCTCAGCCAAAATACGCCACTGGTGAGGGGGCATTTGCCACCTCTGATCCCCCCCACCCCAGTTCCTACACCCTTCCCTGCAAGACCTTTTATTTGCTCGTGATTGCATCCTTTCCAAACATCAGGGAACCCAAACCACTGAGCAGTTGCCAGCGAGCAAAATGAAGACGAGAGCGACTATAGTGCTCAAGACAGGGAAGGGGTTATTAATTTTTTTAATTCTGTACTTGATAAGATAGGGTAACAACCTGAGGCAAAACTGATGAGGGTTAAATCATCTAAGTTCTGACATGATGGATGAAACAAAGCATATGCGAGGTGATCCTCAGAAACAGCTCTTCCAAGCTACGAAGAACTGTTTCTGAGGGAGAGTTCACCAATGCTTGGTTTTGCAACGATGCACGTGATAGTGTCTGAACTTAGGTACTGTCCGAACTTAGATGGTTTAACTCCCCTACAGTTTTGCCTCAGGTTGTTACAGGTTTTCTATTAGATCCTCGAGCAGATTTTTTTTATGATCTTGCAGAATAAGTTCAATAGCAGTAAATTGCGCCATTGAGAATTCATATTTTATCCTTTTTCAGACAGCAATTTCCCTGATGCAGGAAAACGTCTCATTGAGCAGATAAATGAGGTTTGAATAGCCAGATATTTTTTAACACATTCGGACAATATAGGAAATGATTCTCTTTTCCCTTCAAAATAACACGTTTGTCGTGACGTTCGCAGACGCCAAGTAGTAGGTGGAAGATGAGGACAGTGTGCATCGAGAGTGAGGGCAAAGGATCTAAAAGCCTTAAGGATCCCTTCTCGCTCTGCAATGTCATGTGTAATATGCAAGATCTTCAATACTGCAAGGTCTTCAATACTGACCCCACATGACAGGTCTAAAGGGACGACTCTTGGAACTTCAGCAGTCCAAGAGCCAGGGGCTGATACAGAAATTTTTCATAGGGGGGGGGGGGCGGTTCCCAAGTTCCAACCTAACCCCCCCCCGCCTACCACCATTCCTCGTCCTTTCGCCTTTTTTATTTTTCGCCTGGGGTAAGAACTTGAGTGTCTATTTCAATGGCTCCGATAACATTTAA